AATATAGGTCGCTGACGTAATCCCATTAGGTTCGTGCGCAATGCTAATTTTGCAACAAGCTCAGGACAGTCAATATGGTGGACAGTCATATATAATAATAGGGTAGATGCCTAATTTTTAATATAATGTCCGTCTTGTATTTTAAATCACGATCAATCACGAGATCACGCCCAAAGCATTCTTTAAAAAATATTTAATTTACAATTTTAACTTTTCAACGATTTAAATTATGTATAGATGTACATACATAATATACTATATGTTAGTTTAATTACAAAAGTAATACACAGCTAACCGTTGGTCGTAATAAAACCGTAAACAAACATCGCTGGACTATTTCATTTTGTTTCGCATCATAAACTCATATTTTATTCATTATAACTCTTTGTAATTACAATTTTATTATGACAATATATCAGCAACATTATTATTTGCTTCATTTTGACATAACTAACTTTATTATTAATAATTATAGTGTTCAAAATTATGTAGCAAATGTTGCACGATATTTTTGTTTGGTGTAAAAGTGTCGCGTTGTTAGCGAGCAGGGTTTTTTTTTATCAGGCTTGTGTACACGCTAACTCAAAATCAAATAATTTATTAACTAGACCAGTAAAGCACATTTTAAGATCAAAAAATAAAGTAACAAAGTATTTAACTAAATTCCAAAATGTGTGGGAGAGCCATGCTTCGGCACGAATAGGCCGGCTCGACCGGAGTGATACCACAGCCTCACAGAAAACCGAAGTGAAACAACGCTTGTGTTGTATTTCGTCGTGTGAGTGAGGTTACCGGCGGCCCAATTACCCCCCCTCCCTAGTCTCCCGAATCCCTGTATCCTCCATAATCCTCAAATTCCTAATTCCCAAAAGGCCGGTAACGCACTTGTAACGCCTTGATGTTTCGAGTGTCCATGGGCGGCGCCGATTGCTTACCATCAGGTGATCCGGCTGCTCGTTTACATGCATGTATGTTTGTGCGCGGTTATATCCGTATTGGCTGATTGGCCGCTTTTGATGCGGTGTTCAGAAAAATGTTTGGTTACAAAGTAAGTTATGAAAAATTCATTTACGTTCGCTTAATTTGTCATCTATATCTTCAGGAATCCATACTTATCTACTCTGTCAAGCATAATTATTATTGAGTTGTTTCTCGCGACCGTCTCTGCTCTAGTCGGCATTCTCACTAAACTTAATAGAAATGGTATCTAACACAAAACTTGTTTTAGACAAAAACCTATTCCCTTTTCACGCCCAGCAACTAAAGCCCGGTGTACGATAAACTACTAAATTCATTTTGTAACTTCACTCTCTTCACGAGCAGCGTTAAGTTTTCGATCAAAAGTTTTACTCGAGTCCATTTCGATTCGCGTCCATTTTAACTGAAGATATCAGATGGTACGGAGCACCTATCCAGACGATTCTGATAGCAATCTATTGGCTGGACAGAAATTTAAATCGTACTTTTAGTTGCGATGATAGATTGAGTTGTAAATTGGAGGTTGGACTTTTAAAAATGCCTTAATGATGATGGAGACAAAATTATATGGAATTGACGTAAATTTTGACACTTGTCAGTGTCATCCCCATACATTTTGATTTCTACTCTCTCTGTAGATAAGCGCTAACGTGGCGTTTGGCTAAAGGCACTGGGCTTATATTTTCTAATTATTATAAGTTTTAAATGACCAACCCGCATTGAGCAAGCGTGGTGATAAATGCTTAAACCTTCTCCGTGTGAGAGGAGGCTTTGCTCAGCAGTGGGCATTTATAGGCTGTTGATGATGATAATGATGATACACAATTCCGAACTCCGTGTGAAATTAAGACCTTTTGTCTTCTAATTTAAACAGATTCCATACATTACATATACATAGTATAGAAAACAACAAGATCGTGTCTTTCTGTTCAGACTCAGACATAAATATGTTGTAAAAGCCTAATATCTGATTCCACGTGCTGTTTTCATTTCACATCTGCACTGGACGTTGTACTATTGACGCATTATTTGGAGTACTAAGTAATTATATTTATTTATTCGGCTTGCTTCATTTAATGAGATTTTTTTCCTTATGTTTTGTTATGTTAACTCGGATTCCTAAGAGGAGAATCTTTTTTTTAATTTCTGTCTGTCTGTTTGTGCCGGCTAATCTCTGAAATGGCTGGACCAATTTTGAAGGGACTTTTACTGGCAGATACTAATAGATGTACTCAGGAGTACGTTAGGCTATTTTTATTTTGTTAAATTAAAACAAAGAAAGAGTTATGTCCTAAAATTCATATTCTACGCGGACGAAGTCGTGGGCAACTATTAGTTAATGGCTAAAATTTTGTTACCGGCGGCCAGAATCATTTTTTTTTCTTTTTGTCATCAATCCTAAAGCTTGTCTATCAGCTTCCCCGTTACTATCCTTTCCTCTTATTGACTTATTGCAACATAATATTTTATGTTTAAATCCAACCAAATAAAATGCATGTCGGTCACGAGAAACTTGTCCAATTGTACCTAAAATTGTACTGGCATTGCACACAATCTGAATTTAAACTAGTTCTGCACCTCGCTCTGGATTATACGAGTACTCTCACATGGATACCTAACTGTAAAGGAGTACGTTACAAGAATTATTCTTTTAAATTCAGAAATATAAGACACCTTACTAACTTGACTGTCACGTGATGTGAACTGTAATTTTAAAAGAGGAATTAAGTAGGAAGACACACAATAAAATGTAACTTTTTTAGTATTCTAAAAAAGATATGCCCTAGTTATGCCTGTTGTGCCCTATTTGGCAAAAATGAGTTGTCGCCAGTGGCGTAGCGTATCTTGGCGTATCTTCGAGTAGATTTTTTTTACTAAAATAATATTTCTGCCCAAATTATCAGACAATGATTAGGTACTTTAGGTTTCCAGTTTCTGCCGTGAAATAGAATTCTCTATTCCATGGTTTCTGCCAACCTTTGAAAGCATGCATTTTGTGATTACTGAAATAAAATATAAATTGAGAAGTTTTATATTATATTTTTGCTTACACTAGTCGGGGGCCCCGTAGTCTGGGGGCCCCTTATTATTGATACGGCAGATACGGTTTATCAATAGTTTTTGGATAGGTTGTCGCACCACTCGATGAAAAGTGTTAAGTACTGCTATGGTCAAATTGCCACGATCTTGAACTATTGTTTGGTATAATATCATTTAACCGTTACCACTTCATTCATTAATCTTTTTTTGTATGCCCAACAGTTGAAAGTATCAGAAGTTACTTGCATTAGTTCGAAGTGTTACCGTAAGATGGCACTACTTGTTTGATGTAGTTTCTCAGCAAAATGACGAAATTCAGGGCGATGAATTGACTAACAAACATTGAATCAACATGTTTTACTTACGATTTATAAATAAGTGTCACTTATTGTAATAAATTCATCAATATATGACAATAATAAAAAACAATCGTTTAAAAAAAATGTATATTAATACTCTTACATCTCTTTTTGTATCTAAATACAATATTTACAGGCTTAATCACATAAGTAACTAACTATAATAATTATTATATATTTCGGGATCTAACCCAATTTTGTTACCGATAGTTTTATATCAGTATTATTTTGTTGCCCTATTTGCAGGCAGTGTCAGGCAGTGTAATAGCTGTTTTTGAGTATTTCGTATTATTATTTATAGTACAAAAAGCTTCGGTTTGCTACTTATTATTACATATTAATATTACAATTATACAATCCTAAAGATACATAATATTTATTTGTTTCCATTTCTCTCTTAGAATAATTTAATTATATCTTTTATGGAATAAGTTACTATTATAATGTTTAACGCAAACGCCATATTGTTTAATTTCTTTAAAGGCCGATTTTTTAATCATCAGTTAATTGTTAATTGTAGAATAAAATTGATATTTGACAGTTTATAGTATGGAAGAAACTAAGAATTGTCAAGTATTCAAAGATACTCCTCGGTTAAATATATCAGGCGTCGGAAAAATCGGCCTTAAACCTTATTTTTTTTTAATTGGGTTTTTGTTCAAAAGGTTTTGCGCGTACATACATTAGATAATTTAAGTTTGAACCTATTTACTCTGATTGTAATGAAGATCTTTTTCAAATGTTCTACATAAAATAAGAATACACTGCAAAAGTTTTTTTTACTAATAATTTGAATTCAAAGGTGGGTTTTGATAATGTAAACATAAATATTTAAAAAAGTAATATATTGTTTCTGTCTACAGACTAGAAATAAAATAAGAGAGATGTTCACTCGAAGCATCGTGCCATCTCCATGGAAACATGCAATTATGTACCTTTGGGAGCGTAAATAACTAGTCTAAGAAATATAATTTAACAATAGATATAGCTAAGAAATATTCAGTAGTAATGTTAAAGAAATTTACATTTTGTTTATCACACAATTCCTTTCATCCACTATCTATGAAGCCAAGTAACGCCAATAAATAATAATGAAATAGAGTAACTATAATAGGATTGGTGGTGCTCCATTATTTTATGGAGATATAAAATATGTTAATGAAGAAACGTATCAAAATAATACAGATTTTATTTCCATAAATTCTTCGGATAATGTTGTTGTTATTAAATTTGGTTTCTGCAATCATATTACTGATTTTGATAATAGTGTTTTTGGAATAAAACGCCTAATTTTCGGCCCGTATTTTCTGTCTTCACAGGCCATTGTAGTGGCACAACTCAAAATGGCTCACAATTCCCTTACAATAAATTCGATTTTCGTATAAAAACCTAACACACCATTGAAGAAGTTTAAGTAATCTCGAAAGATAAGTTAGTATGTCATCTAGATAAACCTAATTTTGAACACTATGTATTTATAAAATTATTGCGATTTACATAGCTAGAAACAGGACCTAAAAACACCGAATATTAACTAAATAATGTCAACAAAATTTAATAGTTGTTACTTTAAATGTGGATTGGATGTTTTATTACTATTTATTTAAAAACTTTTTTAAATTATTATCGTTTTGCGGCGGGGGCTTGTGTGTGATGGGTGCATCCTTCGACATTTTCTGGCCAATCACAGACGTTCTCATTGTAGTTAAAGACCAAGTTTTGTGGACAGGGCATGTGGTGTTTCCTCTCTCCTTCACACATGTAGTACATGGTACAGTCAGCCTTGTCAGGGTGGTAGGAGATGTGGCCGTCTTCTTCTTCGCATACTACTTCGTTAGCTGTGGAAATACAAATACGCTTGTAATGTGTTTTAGATATGACTATGAACAATTTATGGAAGTCGAACATAGTTAAATACTTAACAGTCATGAAACATAACAGTAGTATCTAAAACTTCATAATTATAATACTATATTCCTATTTGAAAATGAAGAAAAATATAATTGGATACATAAACTATAACATAATTGAGGGTAGCCCGTGAGGACCTTATATGTCCAAATATTCAAACGGCACTCGATTTTAAAAGTATAGTTCTCTTCACTAAAATTTTTTTGTAAAATGAAAGAAATGACACGATATTTAAGTACAACTTAAAATTGAAAAGCCTTTCAGAATTCGTTTGTTAGTGTGGATAAGAATAAATATTTAATAAAATGAGAAATTCACAACTCAAATAACAAAATACTTACGATCTTTAGTAGTATACTGCCCATTAGGGTTGGATGATTCGTAAGGCCCATCGTATTCCAATCTGACTTTGTAGTCTCCAAGCTCTTGCTTCATGGCGGTGATGAGGGGGTATTTGCCGGTACCACAAGATCCTCTGAAGTCATCCATGTCTACGGACCAGACCATAATACCACCGAATCCTTCTTCCTTCAGCCAGGCCATCTGGAATGTAAGAAATTATTTCATTAGTTACTGGCTTCTCCACGTTCAAAGAGGTTTTTTTTTAAATATTACAGATTAATTCTCCATGAACTCTTTGTCCGTGCCCTTGTCATACAATTTTTTTATTACAATACATCTAGTCGATTTTTATAAAGTATAGAAGATACCTATTCAAAGAGGTTTATATCCAGCAAATGCACAGACTCTGGCATGCATTCAACTTTTTTTTAGCTCTGATAATTTAAAAAAGTTTAAATATAGAAAACATAAAAATATGAATCTAAACATTAAACTGGTTGATTCAAGGAAGAAAAAAGAACAAAGAAAAAGACAGTATGATGAAGTTTTATAGAAAGTAATAAAATAAAAAGACAAATTGCGTGGACATTGGCTAATTTAGGATCGCCAAAAGCATCGGAAAATATTAAAAATTATTTTGGCTTAGATAATTAAAAAGATTAACTCAAAGACTACAATTACCTTAGTCTTCAGTGATCTCTCATCATCAAATCCGACCCATTGGTCATCTCTGTACGCGAAGGGCACCATCTGCTCGTTGTCCCAGACAAGAGTCGTGTTATCTTCACGAAGGAACTCGCAGATTTCATAGTAGGACATAAAACCAGCCTCGTTCGTGAAGCGACCAGCAGCACCTGATGTGGAGTCAAGAAAAATAAGATTATGATAAAAAAGGTTTTCAGTAAAGAGATCTTCTAAGAGACCGTCTGGTTTTGGTTATTATCTGACGACCACAATTTAGATGCATTTTTTTTTCGCATATACTCTGCAGCTTGACAATCGTTGTAAAATTTCCAATGATATTATTATGTGCTTTAAGTTACATGACTTTGTATTAGCAATTGTAAAATAGTAGTTTTCTTATTATAAAGCGTCTAACCTCGTGGCAACGGTATTGGTAGATACTACTAATAATTTCACATGTATATGCTCTTTGGCTTTAAATTTTGTTGCATTATGTCAAGATTTTTTTATTGTTCTAATGAATTTTAACTTATTTTTAACCAATTTTTCGACCCGTATGGTCAATTGTTAATTTTATGTTTGTTTGTGCGCGATAAACTCGCGATTGGCTGAATAGATTTTAATGCGGTTTTCAGAAAAGTATTTATTATACTTAGGAGAAGGTTTTAGTACCTATATTAATTTACCGACTTCAGAAAAAGGGGCTTAAAATTGGTTTTTTAAAGGTACTTTATGAAAGAATTATTAATACTTTATAACACTTAAATATGGCTCACGTTGTTATTAACATATTATATTTATGTTTTAACTTTCGTGAGACATACTAAATTAATTATTATATATTTTGGCTTACTCACGTGATTATTTGACGAAAAAAGTCGTCTAGTTTCAAGTCATGCTAAAGGCTCATATTCATGAGCAGCATATTATATTAATTGTTTGATGTCAATAATTTGAACTTACCACCACCAGACGCAGGAGCTCCGATGTCAAACTGTGTGTCGTTGATCAAGGTGAATGACCTGCCGTACGTGGGCATACCGATCATCAGCTTCTCTTTAGGAGCACCCTGTCTAACCCATTCTCGGGCAGAGTAGTCCTGGAAGGTAAAATAATGGAATGTTACATTAAGTACTGAATGTCTAGCTAGGTGATACACAACAAGATAAGAATAATTGCATTGCGTCGAGCATGCATGAAAAGATTGATGACTGTTGATGAAGTGAAAGAGGTATGTAGGAATGGTAGTAATTGGCGTTTCATAGTCTCTGCCTATCCCCATGGGAGACAGACGACAGTTATGTATGTATGTATAAGAATAATTGATACACTCTAACACTATAAGTTCCATTATAATAATTAACAGCGAAGGATTTGTTATATATAGAATATTATTTATCACATTAGCATTCATATTAAAAAAATCATTATCTTAAAAAAATAAATCAATGCCAGTTAAAAATTAAATAATTAAAATGTTTCTATAGTAAACGTACTTGGATTCTTGGATTTCAACCAATTTTACAGACAAAAATGAAGAAACAATAATAAAAGATTTGTGGTCTTTTCGTACAGAAAAGGACCAACAAAATTAGTAGGGCCACGTGTAATACCCCGTTTGATTAAACGTGGTTTAGACAATCCTATATAAATGTTATTTTAAATTATGAACCAAAGTTTAATCTTGGTATTTTAATTGAGAAACGAAACACGCGCTTTTTCAAATAGCAATTTGCAATACTATTTCAAAATTTAAAAAAAGATAATTTTACACGAGATTGTGTGTTGTGACGTCACAATAATTTGCATCAATAATCATCATTTCTGAAAAAATCTTACTATATACGATTATTATGAAAATTAAGTTCATAATGAAATCAATTAATAACAGCGTGTTTATTTGTCAAATTTTATTGTGACTGCCTCGTTGGCCGAGTGGTCGCAGTGCGACTGCCGGGCAAGGGATCTCGGGTTCGATTCCCGAGTCGGGCAAAGTATTACTGGGTTTAAAAAAAAATCTCAACAGTAGCACGGAGTCTGGAATTGTGCCCGATATATGGCAATAGGCTCACCCCCTATTACATGGGACTCATAACATAAATAGTGAAAAGTGAGTGTTACATTGTACAGTGGCATAATGTGCACCTCTGCCTACCCCTTCGAGGATAAAAGGCGTGATGTTATGTTATGTTTTATTGTGCATATTAAAAATTCAAAATAATATTTCTTGGACACAGGAAGCGTCCGAACTTCCGAATTACATTAAACAAAAGGTACTTACGACTGTCAGTTTCTTCTGGTAGCTGGTGGCACTCTCAAGAGGGAAGAGGGGACTGTTGTGTCCAACTTGGCGTTCCCATTGTCCATGGAAATCGTAGGTCATCACGTTGATGAAGTCCTTTAAAAGTATTTGTATTATTAAAATCTGTTACATGGTTGTCTAGCTTAACTATACCATATATTAAACTTCTGATAAGTAATTATAGTGTAACAGTACCACATAACAAAACATTAATGAAATAAAACAATTAATCAATGTCGATAGCATCAATCTTCACCTTTCAAGAACTATTGCAAAAATTCAATCAGGCTTTGCCTAGTGCGGCTGTCATTGTAAATTTTTACTGTAAACATTGGAATGCCTAATAAAGATTTATTATTATTTATTATTTATTTATTAATTCAAACCATAAAAGCCATTAAACACAAGTACACAACAGAAATTTAAACAGTTGAACAGCTTACCAGGTATTTAGAAATCTCAGGTACGTCGTATCCAGCAGCGATCGCTTCGAAGGACGCAGGTACAGCAGCAGACAGGAGCAGTCTTGGCTGTCCAGACGTCTTAGCTTCACCTTCGAAGGCTAATCGAAGTTCCTTGAGTAGAGAAACGAATGCTGCACGGTCGTCACCTCCTCTGGAAGTTCAGAAATAATTTAATGATAAGGTAAGAAGTAAAAAAGTATTAAGAGACAATAAGCTCACTGCTAAGTAGAAGGTGTAGTTCTCAAAATGGGATATAATTTTGAAAGATTAAATTGAAACACTAAATCTCGGTTTTGTCTTTAGTGACACTAGGCATGAGATAATCATCTGATTCTTAACAACCTTTTTTAAACACTAATTACTATTATTGCATAATTTTTCAAGTTAAATTTAAACTCCAGATGAAAATGCTCAGTATTTGTGGTTTGTTGGTGACAAAATACAGCTAAAAATTTACTAGCATATTTTAACATGGATTATGTACAAGACAAGTGTTGGACATCGTAAATATTTATTTATATGTTGTTTGGCAACCAAGGTCTTGCATATTAACCAAATATAAGTAGCTTGTGTTATTAAGCACCTAAGGTTACGATACCACCAATATAAGACCAACATAGTTCACAAACATTGTGTCACACACATGTACAAACATTTGACAAACGACCTTGGCCAAACAATTTCTTAATCTGTTCCTAATTTTGATGAAACTTTGGAAATTTATCCAATTGTTAATGATAAAGTAATGTTGTTATATAAGATTTGTAATTTCTTAATGAAATATAGGTGTGAAGGTTCGTTCTTGAGTTGAGTAAGAAGTTTTTAAATCAATTATGTAATGATAAGATTGATGTTATAAAACAAACGCCTTTAAGTTTATTTTGGACTATGTTCCGGAATGTTTTGTAATTTTAAATTTGATAGAACAAAAAGAAATACGATACGATTATACAGACATGCTTTTTGCTTAATTGTCTTGTCAAAATTTAATATTCTGTATGTAAAGATCACTTTTTCGTTTATGGTGTTAATTTTTTTGGTACAATTTGTCTTTGTATATTATTTTCAAATATTAAATATAAAAATGTAGGTCCCTTACCTAGGATACTCCCAGTCTACATCCAGACCGTTGAACTGGTAGTCCCTGAGGAATTCAATAGCCTCGTACACGAACTGGTTCATACGGAACACGTTGGAGGTCAATTCTTTGAAGGGTGTGGAGCCGAAAGCCCAGCCACCGATGGCGAGGAGGATCTGGAAGATAACAAACACGGTAAAATTGTGATTGTAGTAATAATTTTCGTTTTGAGTAAAGCCATTTTAATTTATTAACATTTTCAAATCAAGCGTTTAAAAGATAAACACATTTAAATCCGTACGCTATGGTTTTTTAACACATTCAAATTTAAAAAATAACAAAACTTCACAGTCTTTTAAATTCGGCCTTAAGAATCTTACCTTCAGATTGGGGTTCTTTTCTCTTAAAGCGACGACTTTATCGTACATTTCTGCGTCCTTCTCATCTCCTTCTGTCAGCTTGTGGTCCTTAAGGGTGGCGAAGGCATAGATGATGTGGGTACAGAGGGTAGGGTCTACATTTTCTGGCAGGAAACGACCAGCAGACGGTCTCTTCGAAGACCAAGAGGTTAGATAGCAGAGGATCTGTGGTTCACGTCCTGGTAGAAGCAAATTAATATAGTTTTACGTAATTATACATTTTTGTCTTTAGGTTCATAATTTGGTTTGGTATCGAATTCAAACTACACCTTCTGTAGTCAATAGGACCATAGTGATATTTTATTGCACTCACTTAAAAGTTTCATCAAACTTTTTTTTTAATTCAAATAATAAATCTTTATCAAGCCCAAAATATTCTAAAAGTTTAAATTCATATTAGATTAAAACGCCCATTCATCATACGCTTCAAAATCTTTTTCTAAAATCACTAATTCGTTTTAGAATGGTCTAACTCCACTCATAAATTTAGTTATTAGTTAGAAATCTGCTATGACTATCATAATGCAATTTGGTATTCATTAGGTTTTTTAATAAAATTTGCGTCCATCACTCACAGGCAAGTAATCAATGTCTCATCAATTATGGAATGGAGATTTAGATTTTTTAATTTAGTAGAAAGTGAAGTAATGGGGTTTCCATTTTTTATTTTAATAGCCGTGACAATACTGCTAGTCTGGGTCTAGCAAAATTTGATTTGGAATCTTATTTCTAATTTCGTCAGTTTAAAATTGTACCCACCGTCCGAAAACATCTCAGTTAAATAAAATATGTTACACAGAATTATTTACGAAAAATGACAGCGAAACAAGAACCAAGTTTTATACCAAGAAGTCTGTATCTCAAAACCACTTCAAACCTACATTTCGTATCCCAAATAGAAAGTTTTCTTCCACAAAAATACTTAAGGAAGTATAACATAATGCTTTACATTGAAAATATGTTATTTATTACAATCTCCCCACTTCAGAGGCCGTAAAACTCCAACCTACTTGTTAAGATGTCGGTTGGCAATGTCATAAACTTGACGGCATTAAATCACAAACCCCATTTAGACACCGTTACCAATCCAGCTGGGTCTACCCTTGCCCTCCCTAGCACTCAGAAATGTACCACAAAAGTATCTGTAGACACATTTTCACAGGTCTTAAGACTTTGGTCCTTGATACTACTTGAACGTAAAAGCATTCGATGTTTCAAACTTTTAGCAACTATGTCACGAATTGTCGACTTTCCTAAGCCATTCTTGGCAACAACAGTGGGCCTAAGAGTGACCCTTGCGTTACTCCGCGGAATGTCGAGCTTTTAGTGTCAAACACACTTTCTGTTGTTTTTGTTTCTAGTGCTTGAGATTTCAGGTCAGAACATTTGCTAATGAAAGTTTATAAGCAGTCTCGCCGCGCTCAAATTGGAAGACCTTACTTTTCTCTAAGTAAGGTCTTCAAATTAAGGCGACAGTATAAGGTACTTATCCATTGTGTTAAAAATACTTTTTGTCGTAATATAAAATTTCGCAAACAGTTAACATGGTCACCTATTAACGCCAGGCATTTCCCTTACTTTTTATAACCTTTCATAAAACACATTTCTCTCGTGACCCCTCTATTAGGATAGTATGATACGACAGCGCGTCGATACAAAGGTCCGTCTCTTAAAATTCCCAACATATTTCTTGGGGAACTCCAAACGGGAACTGTCGATACAGGTGCCAAGTGAAGCGTTAAAGACTCAAAAATATCTGCCATTTGCTTCCAGACATTGTTTATTTTTCCTGATGGTAGAAAATGGAATTTTCCAAACATGTTTACATGGAAGCTTTGCGCTTGACGTTCCTAAAAGAGTTTTGCTAAACGACATCTCAACTTTGTACGCTTTGAAGTGATTGGGAGTGATTCCTATGTGTCGTACGATTGAATGTATCTTATGGCTTGAATTTTAACTCTGTTTGGAAAATTACACAAAATTATTCTGAGTATATTCCTAAACAATGGGTTCAGGGATCATTTATGTTGAGGTATTGGACAGCAAAAAATCGTAAATTAATTTGATATTTCTTTGTATTTGCTTTAAAATTACACTGATACCTATCTTTTATAGGGAAAATTCCTTTTGCATTTAATTCAGAAGCTAATAACTTTATTTAACGGAAACATACGTTTTTGAGATCTAAGTCAAGATAATTAAGCGCCAATCAGATGACATAACACCAATCAAAATATCGGATGACAGAGATAAAAGCGAAGAATTTTAGAAAGTTAAACTATTTAAAGTAAAATTATAGCTAACTATTGTGGGTTCGGTAAATGGCGTCAATTATCAACTTATCAACATGTTGTGAAAGTGTTTTAACATGTTATTAAATAATTTTCGACGTTTTGCCGTTGACAAAATTATATAGGAAACGCGTTTTTGTATTGGTATTATAGTGAATGGTAGTTCCGGTATACAAAGCTATTGGTTTTAATTGCAATTACGAAATTCTTAAATTAATAACTCTTTTTGCTGGATTTTTTGTAGAATTTTTGTGTAACTGAGCTTTACGCAATATTTAGATTGTTGCACTGAGCAGTATTCTTCGACCTTTTATCTCAAAACTGGTCTTTACAAGTAGCCACTATGTTGTGAAAAGGAAACTAAAAAATGAACTTACTGTTCTTGTCAATTACAGCATTGTTATTGTTTTTGATGATGACATTCTTGACAGGCTTCTTAACTCGCTTGAGGACATCGGAGAGGCTGATCTTGATGGGTTCTGGTTTCTCAGTAACTTCAATGAGAGCACTGGAGGCGACTGATGCCCAGTCGACGTCTTGAGCGTCCTTACCACGAGAAATGCCGCGGAGTTCCTCTCTGTAATGGATGAATAGTGTTTAGAAGCTGCTGATGATAAGTAAGAATGAAGATGATAAATACAAATATAGAATAAATAGGTATGTGAGTTTTTGATGTAGATTAAACTTAAGTAATATTATTTTCTTACCTCATAGCACCAATCAGAGGGTATTTGACATCACCACCACAAACACTTCCGCTGAAGTCATCCATATCAACGGTCCATACCATGGCACCACCGAAACCATTGTCTTTAATCCATCTGCAAACAAATGTTGCAATGTAAATAAAATCTGTATTTTGGTTAAGATAAATATGTATCAGAGACATTGTAGAACATACTTTTTTAAAAAGAGTAACGAATGGAGTTTCTTGCTCGTTCTTCTCCATTCGAATCTACTTTTTGGAATGAGCACCTAGCTTCACCTAGTTTCACTGACGGACTGACTGACAGACTATTATTTATTTTGTATTTGTTGACGTTTCAATAACTATGGTTTAATTGAAATAAATGCTTTGACTTTGACTTTGAAGATTATCGTTAGTCTAGAAATTAACTAGGTAAGATTGCAGAATATCCGATTTAAGAAAAATAAAATAGTAAGTAAGTCATTCAAGTTATCTGTGTTTAGTCAACTAACTTGTCTAAGGTACTAATGTTCTAAAGTTACTTAATTCAGTGTAATACTTTACTCAGTTGCTTGAATCAAGAATTTGTAAAGTCAAAAATGCAACGAACAAAAGTACTAAGACATCACACTCGAAAGTTGCAATAAAATTATAAAACAAAAAACAACCTTGTGAAAAAATATGAGTAAGCCCACAAAATTTTGTTTACGGAAATAAGAATTTACTTGTAAAAGTAACCAGGGGTGTGATGATGGATGTGAGAGAAGCGATACCACTAAGAAGGAAGTAAATGTCGACACGACAGCTGATAGAGATGGATAGCATAAACAAGAAGCATATAACAAATTACAAAAATTGAGAGGTACTATGAAAGGGACTTTTTTTTTTCTTTAAAAAACGTTGCTCCACACTAGGATTTTCTCCTGTGTCGTGGGTCCGTTTACAAACATACAAGTTCACATACACAATGACACCCAGACCCGGAACAACAATTTGTGGATCACACAACGTGTTGTCCCGTGCGGGAATCGAACCCGCGACACGTTGCACGGTAGCCGGTTGCCCAGCCACCGCACCAACCGTGCAGTCAACCAACTTTGCATATTAATTTGGCTCCAAGAGCACAATAATTAAAGTAGGTATACTATGCTTTTGCTCGCGTAGTCCTGTGCTATTCCATGGGAGCATTTAATCGGGATAAAAAGTATCCTATCACCCAAGTCAGACCATACCCTGTATACCAAATTTACAATCCGTTCTGTAGTTTCAGTGTGATTGACGGATAAACATCTAAACAAAGGAACTTTCACATTTATGATATTAGTGTGATTGTAAAGACAGAAGATCTGTACCCGTAAAACATTATTTTACCTTTTTACAATTCAATGAGGTAGTGTGGGATTAACTATGCAAAGAAAAAAGTCTACTAACATTATATTTGAATTCGGAATTAAACTTGACAACTCGTCTCCGGTGTGTGACATTAAAAAACACTCTATCAACAATGTCCGTACTCTTTTTCGTAAAAAATTCTCGACAAAATATCAAATATCCAAGAATGTTACCTCATTTTGTTCCTGATGGATTTCTCATCGTCGAAGCCAACCCATTGATCTCCGTTGATGGCGTAAGGCACCTTCATTTCATCATCCCAAACGTAGGTACCACCGTTTCTCAATATCTCGCACACCTGTGGAATTTTCGGTTTTACTTCACTATATTCATAAAACATATGTTTTTGAGAACAATGCCGTAACTAATTGAGGGAAAACTTTCATTATATTTGGACAAAACCATTGTATTATCATCAAAGAATGAGTTGAAATTACTTAAAGTATATTCACTTTCTTTTAATATCCTATAATAAATACGGCACTAGTATTATATTTACTACGAAATAGATTCCAAGAAGTGAGAATTTCGAATCTAAATAAATAATTCTTTGAACGCTAAATGTGGAATCGGATTCAACAGCGTAACCCATCCACTCGATTCTTAAGTCATAATTAAATCGAAAGCGTAAAACAACATAGCATTATAAGATAATTCTCATTTCATAACATTTATACAAAATCGCACTGAAACCCATTAACTAATGAAACAATAACATTTTCACAAATTCTGTACAACATCATTTTAATCTTCATCCGCGAAGATAAATCTGCTCAATTTGTAACACCCACAAAATAGGGATAATGTCTTGAAAATTAATCATCTATTTGAACCGTTTTTTAGTGAAAGAACAAAAGCTTAAACGCATTTTTATATTATCGACAGAAGAAAAAAAATAAAACGAATTAAAGGTAAACAATGGGAGGTTATTTTTTCATAAAAAAAATGATACTTAGATATGACGTGGCCTTTTATCCTCGAAGGGGTAGGCAGAGGTGCACATTATACCACTGTAAGTACAATGTAACACCCACTTTTCACTATTTCGACTTCATAACGTGTTTTAAATCAACATTGTGCTGTATGAAATGTTTGATTCCGTAACGAAATAAAAATATGTGTCCAATGCGTTTAATTAAACTACCAGATGAACATTAAAAAACAGTCATCATTCATACTTCGTCTCATAAACATCTGAACAGGCACACATAAATCACTTTACTTGGAGGCAATATTTTTTAATTACAATATAACAGTAGGTACCTCATAGTATGCAAGGAAACCTCCTTCCTTTGTGTATTCTCCAGCTTTCCCTCCTCCACTCGCGGGAGAATTCACTTTAAAGTTATTGGGGTTCGAGAGGGTGAACGTTCGTCCGTATGTTGGCATACCTGAAAATCATGTGAGTCATCAAAATATTCAAGTTTACTTGTCTTGAGAATGTGAAATTTTAGAGGTGACATGACATAGTTGGAGTGATTAGGATTAGCGGAATTTGTTTAAGATTTATACTGTAAGTGGCTTTGTAAGTTTAACTTTGGCGTGGAAATGTTGTCTTTGTACAGTAATTTAGTTTAGTATAGAGTTTTGTGATGAAACATTATATAATGGTAGGTTAATTCTTGTGATATTCTAGGTATTATCAAGCAAACACTTTCCATTAACCCACCGTAGCGAACGCAGATCCTCGTGAGACACAATTTATTTTCTATTGTGTTTTATATACCGCAGTTAAAGGAAATTTTTAACTATGTGTTCAAGTTTTATTTATCTACAACCACTTGACTCATGAACCAATAAAATTTGGTAATGTCATAATTATTTAGAAATATACATGATGTCAATTTTTATGCACTTACTACTTGAATTAAACATTTTGTACTTAAATACTCACCAATGATAAGTTTCTCTTTAGGAGCACCAAGTTTGACCCAGAGATGAGCGGCGTGATCTACAGACAGTTGCTTCCTCCACTCGGAGTCTGAGGAGGGTGCGTACAGAGGGGCGTTGTGGCCAGTCTCCCTCTCCCATTTACCGTGGAAATCGTAGGCCATGACGTTGATGAAGTCCAAGTAACTAAGTAAAGAAATGGATAAGGTAAATTTCTTTTAGAAATAAGACAGTTCGATTGAAAAGCGTGTACTCTTGTCCTTTGTTGACTTTAAAAAAGGACACAGATCTAAATTTTTTAAGGTTGTCGACTTGGGAATACTAAATTAATCGCCCTTTGAAAATCTGTACTCATTCTATTCAGCTGAGTTCTAGTAGGTGAGTAAATGGAACCGATACAAAGGTTGTAGATTTTATTGCTATATTTCGTCCTTATACCAAAAAAATAACGATAGCAATCTCAATGCTTGCAAACATTTTGACACCACATGTAAAGGAATTATTGCAAGAAACGAACACATATTTGACAAGCATTCAAGTAAAACTGGCATTTCTATTAAAACTTCGCAATCAACAAGTCAAAAAGGATAATAATATAAAGAACTTGAAAGGTGACAGCATAGAATTATAAACAACACAACACATGATTTGATAGACATGTCAAAAGATAAGAGGACATCAAAATACGAGTGTAGTTTGACAAACATAATTATTGTTGTTCCCAAACAGAACATGTAACTCCTATTCCCATAGCACAAGACATAAAATGAAACCACAAGTTCCCAGCCAATGTATTAACTAAATTGGTAACGCCACACAATGTATTTGAATGTGAGAAAACCCATAAGTCTGGGTGCACATTGTTAAAAATTAATTAATAAAAAGGAATTTTCTCAACGATCGTGCGATACTAGCTTTACTTTTAAATTATTTGGGTCACTATTAAAACGCGAATAGACCCAGGAAGCTAGTTTTGGGTAGAAAAACTCATTTGTAAATTACTGAGCCAGCTAAATTAAACGGGTGTTTTGCGAAATTATTTACTATGGGCCTTTTAGCAAATGGACTAAACCTTTGGGCATTAATAGTAACAGTTGCGTTAGTAGTTTTTGGTCCTATATATTACAAAACACATTAGTTGTAGACGTTTTTAAAGCGGGAGTGCTCATGATAAATAGTAATGGAAGCTCTGAATTTAAGGTAGGCAAAACATTATGTTAATATCTTGTCAGTGTGATAAATATCCCAAGTTTACCGGGATTTTTTAGTTCATAAGGTAAAGTTGTTATCTGATTAGGTAGTCGATATAACTGCCTATTTAGAAAAGGTACAATATTTTTCTTTTCCCTCTTTTATCAGAGGAAAAATCAGACGTAAAATTAGAGATATTTAATAATACACGTTGCGGATCTCCTTTTGGGAATTACGTGCTCATTTTTTATACGACTCATTACTTTGAAATGAGCAAGCAGCTGCAATTGGCAATCAATCAGTAGATACCCTAATTTTAACCTTATTTTGCTTTTCAAAAATGACTGTTACAACTTTGTCAGCTCTGTCTTATGTCATATGTCCATAAACTAAATTAAATAGCTACCTAGCAACAGCAGGCACATCATATCCTCCCTTGATGTTATCAGGACCGACTGGGACAGCAGCAGTAAGGAGCAGACGAGGTTTCTTCACTTCTTGAGCTTCAGCTTCGAAGGCTTCACGTAATTCTGTAACAAAGAATATATTGTTTAGAATTTCGTTTCTTTGAATCTTAATTTTAGCTATTGTTCTTTTATTTATTTTAAATGATGCACATACATAAGCACATGGGTGGATTTAATGCCGTAGGTATTGCCTACCAGTGTGACCCTTGGGTGATGCAGAAAAGAGCAACCAGAGGGTACACATTAATCAACTATTTAAAGTTAGATTGGGTAGTAGTTAACTACAATAACTTAGTATAATGTCTTAGGTTCAATAATTATCTTGGGTAAAACTTGTCATTTGCCGCCCCATATCAATCTTAGACAACTCACACGACGAAACACAACGCAAGTGTTGTTTCACGTTGGTTTTCTGCGGGGCCATGGTGTCACTCCGGTCGAGCCGGCCCATTCGTGCCAAAGCAAAGCTCACCCACAGTTAAAGTTAATCATACATATTTATTCATAAATATTAATCTGCATGATTTTACACACATTATTTTATTATAATAGTATCGAAGAACCCAATACAAAAACTAATTTGATTAAACGTAATAACATTAAAATTATAATACAATCTTAGATAATAGCCACAATTTTCGTGACTTATAAACCTGCCATAATATTAAACAGACAATTCATAGTACTTTAAACAGAATATAAGTTCAATAAGCTTCATCTATCTAATGATGTTGCAATGGAAATCGTGTGCGAGCATTCAAAATGGCTATAAACAATCCTAATCCAAGTTAAATCACACGTTTTCAGCTATGACTGACATTCGATTATTATCTTCTTAAGTATTTCACACCTTAAATCTACATAGCTTTAAGTTTCTTTTAGATTATAAGTGTTTTAATGAGAGATCGCTTTAACTTGTCATTGTAGCTTTTGTCCTTCGAGGATTGGGTTCACATCCTAATTCTCTAATTATGCGAAAGATTTTGTGCATGTATGGATGGATATGGTATGGAGTGGTGTCAGGCTCTTATTGACTAAAAACCACCCGGTTCCTACGTCTGCACTTGGAGCCGGAGCCCCGGTAACCGTTTACGTTCTCCGTGGCTCCGTATGGTACAGAGATGGAAAGATAGATTGTCTGAACTAATACATGGGGTACTTTTTGTACCAGGATTGCTGGCGAAACTGCTAGCAGAAGCCAACTAGTAACGAGGTATTACCCATTACCTTATAAAAAACACAATTGTAATAATAGTCAGTGCTTAACTGACATTCTCAAGCTTCTAAAATCCCGATACAATTTATCTCAATACGAGCATTGAAATCACAGTCCCTGCTCCAGAGTTAAGCCACTTGGTTAGCAAAATAACTCAAGTTATAAATAAACAGATATTAACATAACCTAACCATATTATAACAATTATCGAAGTAAAGGAATTTTCGAAAGGTTTCTCTCTAAATGTAGCAAGGACAATGAATGATGTGTTGAGTACCCACTTCTAGGCCAAGAGCTAGCTACACAAAATACAACGTCATCTAACAAACCAGTATTATTGGTAATTCATTTTTTCTCTGTTTGTTTCAACAAAAATGTCAAGCATGTGACGATGCGCCATAATGATTATTATTAGTGATAAATTATGCAGAAATTTTGGGCTAGGTATGTATAATTGTGTGAATTCATTTGATTTTTTTTTGTTTATTAAGAATTTTTATTACTTAGATTTTGGTTTTTTTTTCACCTTGAAACTTGTTGACATCTTCCATGTGTGGTCTATATTTTTTATTAAAAGAAACTATTTACAGTATGTATTATAATTTTATTATGTCTTACATATATTGAGCCCTTATATTGAACCTTATAGTGTTTTAGTTTTAACTGGACATTTGTAACCTTGATTAGGAGACTTCATTATTGATTTTTCTAGTGCACTGTAATAGCAGTAAAGCATGGAAGTATTAAAGAAGAAAAGTACAATTTCACTAAGAAATTTGATTAAAATGACCCTTGTAAAGGCACCAATTACTTGAATTTAATTTTACTTGAATGAGTAGAATAAATTAAATATCTGCCTCGTTGGCCGAGTAGTCGCAATTGCGACTGCCGGGCAAGGGGTCTCGGGTTCGATTCCCGGGTCGGGCAAACTACTACTGGGTTTAATAAAAAAATCTCAGTAGTAGCACGGAGTCTAGAAATGTACCCGGTATATGGCAATAGGCTCACCCCCTATTACATGGGACTCATAACATAAATAGTGAAAAGTGGGTGTTACATTGTACAGTGGCATAATGTACACCTCTGCCTACCCCTTCGAGGATAAAAGGCGTGATGTTATGTTATGTTAATTAAATATCTAGCTCCTCGACTATTTGCATTTATAGCCGTCTGATTGCTTATTGTGTTACTCAAAGTACGAGATTCAATTGTTTTTAATCGAAGAATGTATTCAATGAGAAAGAATCGTGAATGATCGTTCCATTGGCTTCAGGGTTGAATTGTTATGTGAACAAAAGCCAGCCAAGCAAAGTTTGTAAGAAAAGAAACGATAGGTTTTCAAAGAAGTAGTTTGAGCCTTGTGAAATTCTTTTATAGTACTTTGATTTGATTTTGCTTTAAGAAGGCGAATACATTATGTATGTAGAAAAACAGAAATTCCCTAAATAAACATCGATGACATTCACTTTTGTCAATATCAATCAATTTTAATCCTTATCCAACGTCAAAAGGTTCTAACTTAAACACAAATACCTTCAAACTTTAACTCGAGCTGTCAATCCTTAAAAGATTTCACATACTTCTATTCCGAAAACAAACACAATAGATATAATTAGATGTCAACGCAGTGAACCTAACAATAGAGAATATCTGACATAAAGACCATTCCAATATGTCTAGGTATCTTATTAAATATTATAAATTGCCTGACAGAAACCTAGCATCATATCTTATACTTTTCAAAATTATAAACAGAAGTGAAAAGAAAGATAATCCTAAAAGCTATAACTGCCAAAAACCTGAGCAATGAACTGATAATTTCATAGGTGTTGTGGGTTTCCATGAGCGGCACCGATTGCCGTCAGATGATCCATCAGCTCGTTTGCCGTCGTATCACATAAAAAAGAGGCATAATAAATAGTGCCTGATGAACGTAGGGAACTGTTTAATTGCATGAGAGCGCTACTGAATCATGATATCAAGTCTAGACGTTTAACATTTCGTTAAATACAAAATATGTTGTGTTCATGCAGAAGGCTTTGTTCGTCCATGATTGTGAAAGGTAGTGAACGTCCGATGAACTCGTTAGCCTCGGTTCTATCCTGTATATAGACTGATATATAGTGCATATAGGATGGGTAGGACTCGTAAATTAGAATTTTGAGAGCGACATATTGCTAAATGGTGATATTTCTGTTGAAGCAGATTCTATCGGAAATTAACTCGAGGGTCGAGGTTTTGAGAACCGACTATTGTCAGTTGAGTGAGTTGCACAAAGTATTCTTCGGTTACCCATTGCGACAATAAACCTTCCCGAAATCAAACAGGTCAACTTAAACTACTTAAAGAATATACAATATGGTAGTTGCCAGGGAATGAAAATTAAAAATATAATTAGTCCGTCAGTTAGATAATGAAAAAATATTAGACACGTATTTTTTTTATTTTCTCGTATAAAGTTACAATACTTAGATAAAATGGAGTTAAGTACCTATGTACTCTGTTTTTATATATGTATTGTCCTCTGTGTTGAATGTGTGTACATGAATAAATAAATAAATAAGTTCAGGAGTGAGAGGTCGTTACGTTACTATGAGCTACACAATGTAGCGCCACACGATATTGACGTGACGTGACGTTAGTGTATAGTGACGTCACACGATATTTCATATTAATATATCGTCGAAAGTATTTAATTTCGTGAGAAAAGAAAAAATACATTGAACTGTCAAACACCGCGAGGACACCGGTGACCGCAACCTATTGTTCTTTAATATGTCTATAATGACGGTACTCAAAGAGTTAAATAAAAATAAAATTTAGGCAACTACCCTATTACTATAGACTAAATAGTTTCCTTTAACAAAACAGTAAAGTATGTATATCTGGTGTCTCAACATGTTTCTGCCTACTAGAATGAGACAAAGTCGTGACTTTATACTACCTATATATCTAGGTTTTACATAACAGTACGCTGCAGAAAATCTAGACCAGACCAACATTGTATAACTGTTACTAGATCACATTTGAATATGTAACAGCAAAGATATTGGCTTTACGCCATAGTTTCTCTATTTCTACACATATGCGACTTTACGAACATATTATTTTGTTTTATTTTTTATAATATGTACTACGGGCGGTGAAGAAGAGGTGTTTAAGTGTGGGAGAGCCATGCTTCGGCACGAATGGGCCGGCTCGACCGGAGTGAAACCACGGCGTCACAGAAAACCGACGTGTAGCAACGCTTGCGTTGTGTTTCGTCGTGTGAGTAAGGTTACCGGAGGCCCAATTACCCTCCCCTTACCCAATTTCCCCAATTCCTGAATCCCCAACGATCCTCAAACTCCTAATCAGCAAAAGGCCGGTAACGCACTTGTAACGCCTCTGGTGTTCCAGGTGTCCATTGGGCGACGCCGATTGCTTACCATCAGCATGTGTCCTTAAGTCCCATCCAATCATATAGAACACCATACTTCTTTTAATCCTCAGTAATTTACACAATCCGATCAACGCATTTCCGGATAATCTCATACACAAACCACACAATATACATGTGTATATATATCAAAAACACCAATATCACTTAACAAAATAATTTATGTTCCCTATAAAAAAAGTCGTAAACATATATTTATTTATTCGGGATACCGAATAACTGTTATTTATGTATTCGGACGCGAAACCAACCCTTTGCGTTACATCTCTACTGTGAAGGAACTTAATATATTCTGATGTAGGTTCCTAGGTTCATTTCTATGGTGTTACAGTTAATCTATACATGTCCCATGTAATAAGGGGTGAGCCTATTGCCATTTACCGGGCACAATTCCAGACTCCGTGCTAC